TATATATATATATATATATATATATATATATATATAACATTGTATAGTTATATTTGTAGTTTAATAAAATTATATCTACTTAGTATCATAACATTAAAACAATACTTCCAAAATTGTGTTCGTGCATCGCACGGGAAAAATACTAGTTTATACAATGTAAGTAAACAAATAAAATGGAGGAATCATAAAAACCGGGCAAATTATACTGTGGACCGCAGTCCACAATGCATTGTGGTCCAAGCATCAAATACATTGCAGTTTCATTTCAACACAACTACAATATCATTTTGATATAACTACAGTTTCGCTGGACAATATACACTCAAATATGTGAAATTGTTATTCAGTTTCATTTTGTATACACTACAGTTTCATTTGTTAATACAATAAAAATAATACGTGAGACATTATTAGTTTAGATACATTATAGTGTCTGTCGTTTTGGACCATGTCCACAGTATAATTGCTGTAAAAAACCGTGACTAGGCCACCCCAATAGAACATATACTTTTTCTATAATATCTCACCATCAGGGTTTGATCCTGTAACCTTTCCAAAAAAAGAGTTACAAAAATATATCTTAGCACAATGTGCTTAGCAATAGATATTGTTCATACAAAGTTTTTTAAAAGAAATAATAATAAAATAAAAAGAAGAATTAAATTGCAATTAAAAGTGAGTAAACAGAATGAAAGTGCATGTCCACAATGTTAATGGGCTATTTGACCCATTAAACAAAGTGGGCCTCTCAATTATGACAGCCCACGATCTATCTATACGGAATTCAGGAATTTGCAGAGTACAAATTAAGTAGGGAGGAGATGTAAGAGCAATCTCATTTTTTTTTTGGAAAATAAACGGGGGTATACCCAACAAAACACAAAAACGAAGACTAGTTTATCTCGTGGACAAGACTAGTTCATCTCGTAAATGTAAGAGCAATCTCATTTGTTGAAGTTTTTTATGAATTTTTTGTATGCTAAGTAAGAGAGAGGAGCGATAGAAATGAGAGAAACACGCACAGTGCACTTCTTTTCCCTTTCGCTGCATCCAACAAAAAATTGTTATTTGTAGGAGTAAAATCTTACTAAAAATCTTACCGTCAATTAGTCTAAAAATCCCACTCAAGTTTTTTGTTCTGCCAAAAATTCTAAAAAATTTTAATGTGGATGCTCTAGTGTTAGCGCATATGTTAGGTAATCATTCCAAAGGTACGTAGTTCTCTCCCCTTCTTTTTTTTTTTTTTTTTTTTGACAAGAAAATATGTGATCACTACTTGAGATTATGTAATTAATAAATTATATTCTTGTGTATGACATACTTTGACTAAAATCATGCTTCAATCACGCGTAAACTCCCTTCAGACATATATACACACACACACACACACACACACACACACACACACATATATATATATATATATATATATATATATATATATATATATATATATATATATATATATGTTTAAGTTCCAGTGCGGGTGAATGCTTCCCGTGAGGTTGTGCGGTTGGTTAATGTACGTGAGTTTTGTACTTAATGTGCGTGAGTCTTGTGCCAAGGGTGCGTGAGTTATGTGCTTAATGTGTATGAGTGTGTACTTAATGTAAGTTGTTGAAATTTTAAAGTGCATGAGTTTTGTGCTTAAGGTGCGTGAGTTTTGTACTTAATGTACGTGAGTGTGTACTTAATGTGAGTTCACTGCTGGAAATTATGAAATTTCCAACCACCTGAAAGTGATCTTAAATCAAGTCGAAAGTAAAAAGTTGTCAGAAATAGCAATAAAGATTTTTCCGGATACCAAAAATGGTCGGAATAAGGCTTTCGACTTGATTTAAGATCACTTTTAGGTTGTCAGAAATTCCATAATTTCCAGTAGTGGTTGTTGTTAAAACTTAAGGTGCGTGTGTTTTTTTTTTTTTTTTTTTTTTGTGCTTAATGTGCGTGAGGGTTGTGCTTAAGGTGCGTAAGTTTTGTGCTTAAGGTGCGTGCGTTTGTGTTCTGAATGTATTTTGTTTGTGTGTTTAATGTGCGTCTGTTGTGTACTTAAGGTGCGCCAGTGTAATGCTTAATGTGAGCACACCCGCACAACCGCACGGAAAACACCACCCGCACCTGATCCCTTCCCTATATATATAAGATCATATGAGAACACCGGCTTTGTTGAGAATGTGAGAACAAATCGTGTACTTCCATCTAATATTTTTTAATGGTCTAGATTAGATTAAGTGTGTGTGAACGCGCATTAAATGTGTGCAAACGCGACTAAGTGTGTTTACACACATTTAATGCGCGTTCGCATACACTTAATCTAATTTATACCATTAAAAAATATTAGATGGATATACATGATGTGTTCTAATGTTCTCACCTAAGCACGTGTTCTCACTGGAACCCTACCCTATATATATATATATATATATATATATATATATATATATATATATATATATATATTCTCTTTAATTTATTTGAACCGTGAGAATTGGAATGCATGTCAAAAGCAGATTCCCCTTGCGTGGATCAGTGTCTTTGCCAATGCCCAAAAAGAGAATCCATTACTCCCTTCCCACTCCTTTTCTCTCTCTATATATATATGTGTGTATGTACACATATATATACACACTACCAAGGCTATATAGGTTTGAGCAGTTTGATTTTCATATATAAAATCTCGAATTCAATGTTCAAGTCTTTAATTGAAAAGCATTGGCTCAAATGGTAGGGACATAAATCGTCTAAATATGATATCAGGAGTTCAAACCCATCATATTATATATATCCACAAACCACGCACCTTAAGTATACAAACAAAGCACTTTAAGAACACAAACTACTCACCTAAAGTTTTAAAATGACGCACTTTAAATTTCAAAAATTGACGCACCTTAAATATACAAATCATGCACCTTAGAATGGAAAACAACGCAAGGAAAACCACGCACATAAAGCTTTAGTTGACGCACTTTAAATTTCAATACTAACGCACCTTAAGCGCATAAACCACGCACTTAAGCAACCGCACAACCGCACCTGAAAAGGCCAATCACACGGGAACCCATATATATATATATATATATATATATATATATATATATATATATATATATATATATATATATATATATATATATATGGCACGTGTGTGTATGTTTAATAATAGAGTCTAACAAGCAGGGACGGAGCCAGAAAATATGTTGAGGGGAGGCAAAGAAGTAAGGATGGATTCAATGGTGGATTCAGAAAAATTTTTTAGTGAGGGAAAAAAAATTAAAATAAAAAAGAATGTTTAAAAAAAATGAAATACTTAAAAAGTATAACAATAAATATTGTTGGATATAGCGAAAAATAAAACATATTAAAATTTTATAAAAATATTTATAACAAAATATGAAACATAATTAATTTGATAAAACAATTCGAATATAAAACGCATTATAAATTACACATTCCATTATTAATATAAAGAAAGTTATATATATCATGCCAAAATTTAATTGTGTTAATCAAAAAAAGTGAAGAAGACTGTGACACATCAGAAGGATAGAGCGTTATGTTGTGCATAATTTTAACTATACATCCATAATTTCATAACTATACATTCAGAATTGCATAACTACATATCCATAACTTCATAACTATACATTCAGAATTGCATGCATAACTATACATCCATAACTTAATAACTATACATTTAGAATTGCATAACTACACATCCATAACTTCATAACTATACCTTCAGAATGTGAAATTATAAAATTATGAACATATGTTTACGTAACTAGGACTAGAGGAGAGACCACGCTAGACCCGCTCATTTTTTTACGCTCTCTGTTTCATTTTATGCATTTAGTTCAGTTAATGAGACTTAATTTAAGTTATTTACGATTCAATTTTTGTTGTAATATTTGATTTAGTATTAATATATAAAATTTATATATTTTAAAATTACATTGAAAATACGGTTAAACACAAAATTTTAAATTAAAAATTTTTTTAAAAAAAATTAGAAAGTAAGCAGTAAAAAAATTAATTTAACTCATGAATAATAAACTAGATAGAATAAATTTCATTTTTGGTCCCCAGACTATTATACATGAATCACATTTGGTCCTTGACTATTAAATTTTTTTAATTAGGTGCATGGCTATGTAATTTGTATCACATTTGGTCATACCGTCCGCCAATTATTATTGTCAGAAGTGTTCCTTTCGAAATAAGTAAATAAATAAATGCAGTGCTCCTTCCGGAAGAAGCAAATGCAGTACTCCTTTCTGTAAGTGCTCTTTCTTGAAGAAACAAATGCAGTGTTCTTTCGAAATGAGCACTTCTGGTAAAAGTTAGCTAATAAATTGGACAACAAAATCAAATGAGATACAAGTTACATAATCATTAGTCTACTTAAAACAAAAATTAATATTAAAAACTAAATATGATTCATGTATAATAATCAGGGACCAGTAGTGAAATAAACTCAAATCACCTAAATACGTAAGTAATTAGATTTGTACTCAATAATGTTGACGAATGACGTGACAAAAGGGACTGGTATGCGTGTATCGACACATCAATGTATCAGTTTCACATAAAATGAGTGACTAATTAAATCAAACCCCACTTAGTAGAGATTTAAACGTGTAATGGAGCAATCTCAATCAAACTGATCAAAAAAATAGTTTTATAAACACAAATTCTAAGTTTGACTCTCAATACAAGTTGTTTATTAACTTTTTTTTTTTTATTTAAGCAGGTGAGGTATAAGTGATCTAAATTAATTTACCTTCTTGTAATCTTTACCGGCTAGGGTTAAAAGATTATCGACTAGGGCACAAGATAGTCTAGACTAATTTACCTTCTTACGATCATTTGCCACAAATAGATATTTATGGTGAAAACATTTATTATTATTGCAATTTTGTTTTTGACTTAAGGATATTTAGTGAGCATGGTTGTATATTTATAAGTCTTTTTTTTTTTCTTGTTCTCTTTTTTTTTTCTTAAAGATCATATTTCTTTTTGGAATCAGGGTCAAATAGACCACTCAACTGCGCACCAAATTGCAATTGAGCCATCGAACTCAAAAAGAATATAATTCGGTCCCTGAACAACGCAAATTCATGCAATTCAATTCAAATTGACTTGTTTACCTGAAAAGACGGTTACCGGATTTAAAAATATTTTTTTAATAATTAAAAAAAAAAAAAAAACTTCGTCTCCGGCGGAGACGAAGGGGTGGCTTTGTCTTGAGCCGTCTCCTCAGCCATGGAGACGCCCTGAGAGTTGCCTGCGGAGACAAGTGGCGGCTTCGTCTTGGGCCGTCTCCCCGGCCATGGAGATGGCCTGAGACGAAGCCACCTTTGTCTCTACCGGAGACAAGAAGACTTCTTCGTCTCCGGCGAAGACGACGTAGTATTTTTTTTTTTTAATTTTAGATTTTTTATTTAAAATTATTTAAAAATATTTTTAAATTCGGTAACCGTCTTTCCAGGTAAACATGTCATTTTTTGATTGAATTACATGAGTTTGTGTTGTTTAAGGACCCAATTACATTTTTTTTTAATTCGATGACCTAATTATAATTGAGTGCACAATTAAATGGCCTATTTGACCCTAATTCCTTTCTTTTTCAGCAACAATCCATATATATATATATATATATATATATATATATATATATATATATATATATATATATATATGACACTGCTTTTGCTTTTGCTGACATCCAACAAAAGTTTCATGACCTCTCATTTTATTGTTATTATTTTTAATTATCTCCAGTAACTTTATTTTCTATATATTAATTAACTTTTAATTTTTATAGATGAATTTTTTTTTTTTTTAAGCAGGAGTGATTTGGCATGCCAGAGACTAATTAATGTGCAATATTATATAGATCAAAATTATTGAAGTTTTTCATTATATTTTTTTTTTGTGTTTGGGTTCAAAATAATTGAATATTTAGTTCGAATGAAATACATAAATTAATGTCTTCGAACATAACTTAACTGGTCAACTAACTTAATTCAAAATAAGTTCATAAATTTTGCTTGACTAGCAGCTGTAATGTGCGAGGTTTGGATCCTATAAGAACTAAAAAATAGGTATTGATTTGGCATTGTTTTAAAGAACTGAAAGCTATAGTTAAAGCACATCTCACAATTTATATTCTCCACCGAGACATAAGCAATAAGGGGCACTTAAGTTTCGGTTGAAACTTATATATTACAAATTGGAATATTTAGCTCAAGCAAATGAACACTATAACTGTGAATAGTCAATAAAGGATGTTGGCATTATCATGTTGAACAGATATTATGTGTAGGTTAGATTGTAATAATAAAAAAAAATACTAAAATCAAAATAATATGAACCAAGTATAGTTTGAACCTATCACTTCCCACTTAAGAGAGCAACCGGGTACCACTAGACCACAAGCCACTTGGTTATGTGCCTAGCTTTATCGGCTATTATTAGATTTGTATAAATATTCCTTACTTTTTTTAGTAAAATATAAATTAAAGCGAGGAGGTTTAAGGATTCTATATATTATATGCATGATCAAGTGGCTTGTAGTCCACTAGTATCGGATTGCTCCCTTAAGTGGGAGGTGTAAGGTTCAAACCTTAATTGAGGCAATAGTGTGTATATGTAGGGTATCCCCCTTCCTTATAATAATATATATATATATATATATATATATATATATATATATATATATATATATATATATTATATGCATGAAATGCTTTTGAAAGTGTCATGTTGCACTTTCTTCCCATTCCTTGGCACCAGAAAAGGAAAAAAGTAAAATAAAATAAAATAATTGAAAGTTGAAACTTTTTAACCTTTCTAATTTATTACTCCGTATAAAACTTTAATAAGGAACTTAATTTATTAAATAGAATCAAATTGGGAAATTCGACCTCTACCATAGTATTGAGAAATGTTACATTCCCTTCATGATTTTACCCACTAATTTTTACCTCCTTACATGTTTTGATTTTTTAAAAAATATTTGATTAATAAATAAATTTTTACTTATAAATAAACACCATGAATTATGAAGTAAAATTTGGAGCAACATTATTGTTTTGAAGTATTTGATCTATTACGTGGTTCATCTATGATTGCATGCATGTTAAATTGTTACATGCATGATACAATCGCCTTGTTTGGTAAATGGTTGTTAGCTGTTAGTTGATTGGGTTAATTAGAGGGTATAACTAATTGATAATATTAGTTGATTGTAAAAAGATGTTTGGTAAATTAGCTGTTAGCTGATAGTTGTTCGGTATAATTTCTTTTCTCAAAAACCTAATTGAAAAAGTTATTTTGAGTAAATTTTTGAATTTTAACATTTTGGAGTACAAAAAGCTAATTAACCAAACACTTATATTGATTTTTAAACCAAGTCAAACAACTAATAGTGATCAAATAAACTAAATTAATATTAGTCTATAAGCTAATTATTTTATCAAACAGGCCAATAATTAACAATTAGTTTAAATTTGTGAGATTGCTTTTGTCACTGCATCTGAAAACGGTACCTTCTATGTTAAGGCAAGAGAAACATGATCGATACTGTAATCCCACGTACATTCCTCAAATGGATTTTGGTCTACTTTAATTTATTGCAATTCAATCACATATAAAAAGATATGTTATCCACTTATTTTCAATGTCCTATCTGCTTAACATTAGAGGTCATTCCTCTCCAACAAGTCTAACCCACATAAATTTTCTATTAAAATTTACTTTTTCTATATGGTTTGCAAATTATAACACAGGAGTAATGTTTACCAGTACATACCCTTAGGTAATAAATACACATTTCCCTCATCTAGAAATTCGGTGCAGCTAATTTACACCTTTAAATTATTTATTTTTTATACGACAAATTAATTTAAACATATCAAATTTTAATTTATTTTTAGATCAAGTGAATAAAAATAAATTAGTTTGATATATATATATATATATATATATATATATATATATATATATATATATATATATATACTAAAACTAATTCTATTTTTCCTCTGGTTAAGCTTTAGTACTTAATGATGGCCCGGTTAGAATTACATTTTTTAATTTTTCATGGTTCATTTAATCTTCATCGATATTACATTATGGCTCTGTTTGGCAAACCTAGTTGAAAAGCTATAAGCTAAGAGCTGAAAGCTGAAAATGAGCTGAAAGCTGAAAAGCTATAAGCTCGGAGCTAAAAACTAAAGAGCTGTTATGATTGAAAGTGTTTGGTAAAATTAGCTTTTTGATAAGTTGATAAATGTAAAAAGACTAAAAAGGACATCTTCATAAAATTTAAATTAGTTTGTTTACATATTAAAATTTAACATTTTGTCTTTAAAAAATTAACATTTTGAAATAAAACTATTAACATAATCATGATCTAGCATCTCATAATGAAGTAGCAATATTGTTGTGAATCTCATAATAATAATAATAATAATAATAATAATAATAATAATAATAATAATAATAATAATAATAATAATAATAATAATAATAATAATATTTGCGGTGAAAGTTACGGATAAAGGAGAAGAGAAAAGAGTTTTAATTGGGAAGGGTAAATTATGTCATTATTTTAAAATAATAAGGATAAATATGGAAAAAAAAAAGTTAGGAAGCTAGGAGCTTATTTTGAAACGCTACCTAAAGTAGCATTTCAAAATAAGCTCTTATTTTAAGCTAGGAGCTTATTTTGGGAACATTACCAAACCGAGCTTATAGCTTATTAGTAGCTTAAAATAAGCTATAAGCTCCTAAATAAGCTTTGCCAAATCGAGCCTATGGCTCTGTTTGGCAAACCTAGCTGAAAAGCTATAAGCTAGGAGCCGAAAGCTGAAAAGGAGCTGAAAGCTGAAAAGCTATAAGCTCGGAGCTGAAAATTGAAGAGCTGTTATGCTTGAAAGTGTTTGGTAAAATTAGCTTTTTGATAAGCTGATAAATGTAAAAAGACTAAAAAGAACATCTTCTTAAAATTTAAATTAGTTTGTTTACATATTAAAATTTAACATTTTGTCTTTAAAACAAATAACATTTTGAAATAAAACTATTAGCATAATCCTGATCTAGCATCTCATAATGGAGTAGCAATATTGTTGCAAATCTCAAAATAATAATAATAATAATAATAATAATAATAATAATAATAATAATTGCGGTGAAAGTTGTGGATAAATGAGAAGAGAAAAGAGTTTTAATTGAGAAGGGTAAATTATGTTATTTCTTTAAAATAATAAGGATAAAGATGGAAAAAAAAGTTAGGAAGCTAGGAGCTTATTTTGAAACGCTACCTAAGGTAGCGTTCCAAAATAAGCTCTTATTTTAAACTAGGAGCTTATTTTGGGAACATTACCAAACAGAGCTTATAGCTTATTAGTAGCTTAAAATAAGTTATAAGCTCCTAAATAAGCTCTGCCAAACAGAGCCTATGTGTATATATTAATTCCACATTAATAATGTTGGTTACTTTTGAAGTAATTACTTAATTAGATTGTTTAGTACTTTAAATTGAATATTTAGCTCTAAAAGGTTATCTGCAGGGGAAAAAATTGTAATCAAAGCCAGCCTGGATGATAAAAACCCCCCCTTTGAAGTATGTTACATACTTTCTTGTTTTTGTTTTTCTTCTTTTTTTTTTTTTTAGTTTTTTTTTTTGAAAACCATACTTTCTTGCTTTAATTTAACTTTTGTTAGTATTAAAATAAAGTATTCGACTAATCAACATTTAGTTTTGCAGTGGTAATAAAGACTTAATTATTGTGAGTAGAAGTGATGTATAAATGGTGGGAGAACTCTAAGCTAATACTTGGATTGCACATTTATTTTTATATATTATATATGCTCAACGTAATATGCCTCCTCATATGTGTGGGCCGATTACTTTTTGATGGGTTCCAAACAACACATGGACCGCAGTCTATTTTTTATCGGGTGATGCGGAGATTCGATCCATGACCTTTGGCATGGAGTTGGCTCTGATACCAAATTGAAGCATGTGTTCTATCTCAACTAAAAGTTTAAGATGATAGTTGGATTTTACATTTATGTTTATATATTATATGCTCAACAGGGATTTACTTCCTTCGCAAATTATGCCGTGCAACCGTATGCACCATGCAAAATGACATCGTTTTACTATGATGGAGTAACGGTGCCATTAGTAGCACCGTTTAACTCGACCAATCAAATAATTTTTATTATTATTTTTTTTTTTACAAAAACTCCAATCGACGTGTAATTATAAATATATAGTTATGCAAGTCTGAATATATAGTTATGAAGTTATGGATATATAGGTATGAAGTTATGGATATATAGTTTTGGAATAATGGATATGTAGTTATGCAATTATGGATATAGTTCTCTGTGAACAAGCATTTTAAGAATTCTGAATATGGAGTTATGTAATTATGAATGTCTAGTTGTGAAATTATGAATATATAGATATGAAATTATGAATGTGTAGTTATTATTTCTAAATGTACTATTGTCAAATTATGAATATATAGTTATGTAATTCTGGATATATAGTTATAAAATTATGAATATATCCTACTGTTTGAATACGAAAGGAAACCGCCTAACGCTGTTAACGACAATCCGAACAGGATTATTATTTTTTAAAATGAAACGGCGTCGTTTTGCAACCGTGTGCACCATGCAGTGGGGTTGTACATCGTAACGATTGTACTTCCTTCATGGACATTAAGGTGGATTTATGGAGATCCATGATATAATCGGTTGAAGTTAAGAAATATGGATTGTCATTAAAAAAAAAAAAAAAAAAAAAAAAAAAAAAGTGCCAACTGGAGCTCCAAGAATCTTTGTGATGATGATTGTATGTGTATATTACAATTTACAACATACTTAGCTTTCAACATTGTTGTAGTCACTGTTCTCAAAAAAAAAAAAAAAAAAACATTGTTGTAGTCACTAAGCATTATATCTATTTTGACAACTTTTCTGTCAAAGTTTCGACTTTCAATGTGGTGTGTCAGTGATCAAATTCCTTTATATACATATATATGTGTGTATTCCTTTGTTTTATTCTATATATATATATATATATATATATATATATATATATATATTTTTTTTTTTTTTTGTACTTTCTTGATCTATATATATATTGTACTTTCTTGATCCAACTTTATTGTGTATGTGCATATTGCTTTCACATCCCACAAAAGAGATCGAAATTAGAACACGCTATCGGTCGATTTTAAATTATTTGTAATTGATTTTTTTTTTTTTTTTTTGAAAAAATTATGGTCAAAAGTTATAAAATATAGTAGAGTGCGAAACGTAGTGTCATTAGAGAGTATCCTATTCTTGGCTCAACGACTTAATTTCATTTTTGGTTTTAGATTTATAGATGACAATCTACGTACTTTTACGGGGCATTTGATTGGAAGGGAGAATTACGTGAAAAAGGAATTGTAATTTCATGGGGGATGAATTACTTGAAATAAAGTGAGAATTTAAATTCCAGTGTTTGGTTTATAGAAATATAATTACTGAAAATTTTAATTCCAATGTTTGGTATACATGGGAATTGAAAGGGAATAATAAGTAGTATAAAGTCTAAAATGCCTATGATTGTTGCCGGCATCAATTTTAAGTTAAAAAAAAAAAAAGTGAGGGGTAATTTTGTGTCATGATTATCTTTTTTCTTCCTAAAATTCATGGAATTAAAATCTCGGGGGAGGGGGGTGGGGCATGCGATTTTAATTCCATGAAAATGAGGAAATTGCAATTCCTTCCAACCAAACTAAGAAATTAAGTGGTCGTTGGAATTAGGTGGGAAGGGAATTTAAATTTCCTCCAACCAAACGCCCTGTTAGTTTTTTTATTTATCCGAACATTCATTTTTTGACATAGTATTATTGTGACATGACCAATTTTGGTCCTCTATAAAAAAAATGTTGAAATTTCGTTAAATACAAGGGCATTTCGCTCTTTAATTATGAATTTTTTTCAGAAAATAAACATAAAAAATATAATGGGTCAACCATTTTGTACTTAAAAGTTCAAAATGTCCCTTCAATTTAATGAAATGTCAACGATTTTGTTGATAGAGGACCATAATTGGTTATGTCATAATAATACTAGGACCAAAATAGATGTTCTGATTAAAAAATTAAAAAAAAAAATAAAACTGAGTGAACTGTCACCTATAAATCTAAGACAAAAAAAAAAAAATGAAATTAACTCTGAAAATAATCTATGCATAACAACTACCTTAATAGCTCAATCCCATTTTGGGGTTTTAATGGGACTCATGTTAGGAAAATTAAAAAAAAAAAAAAAAAAACAAAAACAAAAACAAAAACAAAAACAAAAACAAAAAAACAAACAAAAAAACAAACAAACAAAAAACAAACAAAAACAAAAACAAAAACAAAAAAACAAAAAGTTTTCATGGTTGGCGGCCATCCTAATGCACGACCGTCTTTTATTTATTTATTTATTACGTGGAGCATAAAAATTTAAATTAATCTTAATTCATTTTTATCTCTTTTGTCTCATCCAACCCATCCAAAGACTCACAAAAAACGATAGTTATGCTGTGCATCCGTATGCACCATGCATGATGCATACGGATGCCAAAACGACGTCGTTTTATTAAAAAACGTGCGTCTTCCCTTTAAAAAAAAATTCAGGTTCGATTCCCATCAACAACATTATATTGTTCATTCATTCTGGAATTTTAGTTCATAGATTATGGAATTATAGTTCATTGATTATGGAATTATAGTTCATCGATTATGGAACTGTAGTTCATCGATTCTGAAATTTGTTCATTCATTCTGGAATTTTTAGTTCATAGATTAGATTATGGAATTATAGTTCATCGATTATGTAATTATAGTTCATCGATTATGGAATTATAGTTCATCGATTATGGAATTATAGTTCATATGTTGTTGCTGGGAATCGAACCTGATTTTTTTTAAGGGGAGACACGCGTTTTATTAAAACGACGTCGTTTTTGCATCCGTATGCACCATGCATGGTGCATACGGATGCACAGCATAATTTGCCCACAAAAAACTTCAATTTGTTATAAACATATTTAGTGGACATCATTTGTAACGGATGTAACGGATGCTTTGATTGCTCATTATGTATATTTATATCCTTTGTAATGGACACACCTTATATGATGATGTGGAGATGAATAAGATGATTGGTTTTCCCTCTCCATTCTCTATTCCTTCTTCTCCTTATTGTGTTTATATTATACAACACGTTATTAGTACTTTGCTCTACATATTCGTAAGGAGAATCGGAGGTGGTATACAACACGTTATCAGTACTTTGCTCTACACGTTATCAGTCTGATGAGCCAGCCCCATCCCGCGCCGGCACTTTGATGAGCTGACCCCGCGCTGGCACTTTGATGAGCCGACCCCGCGCTGCCACTTTGATGGGCCGACCCCACACAGGCACTTTAATGAGTCGAACTCGCGCCAACAATTTGATGAGCTGGCCCCATACCGACAGTCTGATGAGCCGGCCCCGCACCCGAGGGGAACCTTTGAGGAGGCAACCGCAAAAAAAAAAAAAAAAAAAAAAAAAAAAAAAAAAAAAAAGTTCCAACTCGTCTCACTTTTCTATGCTCGTAGTTTTCCAACTAGAAACGAGATCGAAAAGGCTTGACTCAAGCTCGAGCTCGTGTGCGCCGGCATGAATGTCGTCCAGAAATTTTCCGACACATCCACTGAGAGCACGAAAGAAACTGATGGTTTCGCGAGAAGAACATTCTCGGCTTAGTGGCCGAAACATAGTTAAGTTTCAGGTTTCGGCCACAACATGCATCACCGTAATTGAAGGTTTCGGCCTGGTGGTCGAAACTTCCAGTTTTGGCCTGCACGAACCTGTCTTGTTGTGACCGTTGGGTGGTCAATTCAGCTGTTACGGAATTAATTCTTTGAATTAATTCCAATTTTAATTTTTTGAATTGAAACACATGTTAATGGTTGCTGTTACAGGAAGGTGGGGGGTGCCCTTAAGTGCCTATTAAAAGCTATTTAATCTCCCACCCCTATATAAGAAGGAGTTGGGCAGTAGAGATTTTACACAACAACAAGAAAGTTTATTTTCCAGCCTCAAAACTCTTTGCTTCTACTCTTTCTTAAGCCTACTGTGTTCATAATCTTGCTTTGTTCGCCGGATTCCTTGTTTGAGTGCTCAAACATTGAATCATAGCAAGTTTTATCCTGGGAAGTCTAGGCCACAACTCTCTTAGCACTTTTGGGAGGTGACAAATAAGGTTTTAAGGAAAGAGTGATCGCTTGACTCTTGCAAAAAAAAAACCAACACCAAACACTAGCCAAATTCTCCATCTTTTCTTCACTTTTTTTTTCCAGGAAAATAATAATCTTATTTTATTGGATTATTATTTGTTTTCTACCAACGATTCCAACAGTCTTAAAACTTTATTCCTTGTTTTCCCGTTGGTGGTCTTCTCCGAATTTCCTTGAAGAAAATGGAGCATCCCGTACTGCCAATCGATGGGGAGGATAATGTTGTTGCGGACAACAATGGAGGAAACGGCAACAATGTTGCTAATTCCCAAGCTACACCAGTGAACATTGGTTCACAAGACGGTAGGAGCACCGAGGGATATATTCCCATGACTCGGGTACCTTCGGTACCGAGTGGATCGGCTGAAAAGCCGGAGAAGTTCACCGGTGTTGGGTCGAACTTCAAGATGTGGCAACAAAAGATGTTATTCTACCTAGCAACTCTCGGCTTGGCAATGTTCTTGTCCGAGAGTGTTCCTGAGTTGAAGGAACAAGATGCACAATCCGTGATGGCAGTTGGCTATTGGAAGGACTTGGACTTCCTTTGCCGAAACTACATCCTGAACGGATTGTGTGACACGCTATATGTTGTATATCGAAAGATTAGCACATCAAAAGCGTTGTGGGAAGCTTTGGATCATAAATACCAAAGTGAGGATGCCGGCTCAAAGAAATTTGTGGTTGGCCGATTCCTCGACTTCAAAATGGTTGATTCAAAGTTCGTGCTAAGTCAGGTAGAAGATTTGCAATTAATCTTCGACGAGATCCGTGACGAGGGAATGGTGCTAAGTGAAGCCTTCCAAGTGGGATATGTGATCTACTTGTTGCCTCCAGGTTGGAAGGACTTCAAGAACTACCTTAAGCATAAGCGAAAGGAGATGAACCTGGAAGACCTGATCCAGCGACTCAGGATTGAGGAGGGGAACAGGACGAATGATAAGAAAGTTCCTATCGTTGTTGGCGCTAAGGCCAACGTTGTGGAGCACGGTAAAAGCTCCAAGAGGAACAAGAAGGACAAGCGAAAGCTAGGTCCGAAAGGTGGTGTTACTAAGAACAAGTTTCTTGGCGAATGCTACAATTGTGGCACGCCTGGCCACAGAGCGTCTGAATGCAAGGCTCCAAGGAAGAAGAACAAGAGTTCTGAAGCTAATGTTGTTGGAGATAGCAGCCAGAAGGAGGTCGAGATTAGCCTTTCGGCTATGGTGACCAAGGTGAACATCGTGGGCTCTAACCCTCGTGAATGGTTCATCGACACGGGTGCAACTAGGCATTTATGTTGCAACCGAGAGATGTTCAACACCTTTGAGACCGTTGATGGTGAAAAGTTGTGGATGGGAAACTCTGCTCAGTCTGCTGTGGAAGGCATGAGCAAGGTGGTTCTGAAGATGACTTCCGGGAAGGAACTGACGTTGAACAACGTGCTATATGTTCCGGAGCTGAGGAAGAATCTTGTGTCTGGCTCTCTGTTGAACAAGCATGGCTTTCGCATGGTGTTCGAGTCAGACAAGGTTGTTTTGTCTAAGTTAGGAATGTTTGTTGGTAAAGGATTTGTAACTGATGGGATTTTTAAGCTCAGTGTAATTCTTGTTATCAATAAAAGCAAAGTTAATTCCGTTTACTTGCTTGAGTCTTCCAATTTGTGGCATGGTAGACTAGGTCATGTTAATTTTAATTCTATGCGTAGATTAATTAGCATGGACCATATTCCTAACTTTCAAATTGACACAAATAACAAGTATGAAATTTGTGTTGAGGCAAAACTAACGAAAGTACCTTTCAAATCGATTGAAAGGGAAACTGAACCACTAGAATTAATCCATAGCGATTTGTGCAATTTTAGATCGATACAAATGAGATGTGGTAATAAGTATTTATCACGTTTATCAATGATAGCACACGATACTGCTATGTGTATTTGCTTAAAAGCAAAGATGAAGCCGTTGATAAATTCATTCTTTATAAGAATGAAGTGGAAAACCAACTTAATCGGAGAATTAAGAAGGTTAGAAGCGATAGAGGTGGTGAGTACGAAGCACCGATTAGTGACTTCTGTGCAAGTGTAGGTATCATACACGAGCGTACGGCACCTTACTCACCTCAATCTATCGGTGTTGCCGAACGAAAGAATCGTACATTGAAATACATGATGAATGCGATGCTTATAAGTCCGGGCTTACCTCAAGATGCGTGGGATGAGGCGATTTTGACAAGTAATTACCTTTTAAATAAGGTACCCCGCAAGATGCTCGATAAGACTCCTTATGAGCTGTGGAACGGTAGGAAACCTTCCTACCAGTACCTGAAAGTGTGGGGGTGTCTTGCCAAAGTTTTGGTGCCAACACCTAAGAGAGTAAAGATAGGTCCTAAGACGGTGGACTGTATCTTTATTGTCTATGCACATAATAGTAGTGCTTATCGGTGCTTAGTATACGAGTCTCATAATCTGGACGTACATGAGAACACGATAATAGAATCAAGGAATGCATATTTCTTTGAAAATATATTTCCTTGTAGGTCCAACGAGGGACCAAGTACGTCAAAACGAACGTTTGACAAAACTATGGATAATGATTGTGGGGAATCTGAGAAAGAACCCGAGCTTGAGCCGGGACGTAGTAAGCAGGCGAGAGTTGGAAAATTATTCGGTCCCGATTTTCTAACTTACTTGTTAGAGTACGATTCGGGTACTCTAACTTTTTTATTAGAAAACGAACCCGATTTTCTATCTTGTTTGATAGAGAATGAGTCTCGAACATATGTAGAAGTCGTGACTTCTACGGAAGGACCAATGTGGAAAGAGGCTATAAAAAGTGAGGTGGATTCTATTATACAGAATCACACTTGGGAACTTGTTGATCTTCCTCCGGGTAGTAAATCCTTAGGATCCAAGTGGGTCTTTAAAAGGAAGATGAAACCTGACGGTACCATTGAGAAGTATAAGGCTAGGCTTGTAATCAAGGGTTACAGACAACGCGAGGGCCTTGATTACTTCGACACGTATTCTCCCGTGACGAGAATAAACTCCATTAGGATGATAATTGCCATAGCCGCGTTGCGGAACTTGGAAGTTCACCAAATGGATGTGAAAACCTCTTTCCTAAACGGCGAATTAGATGAGGAAATCTATATGGAACAACCCGAAGGGTTTGTGGTTCCAGACCAAGAAAGAAAATTGTGTAAGTTGGTTAAATCGCTCTATGGTTTGAAACAAGTGCATAAGCAGTGGCACGAGAAGTTTGACCATGCGATGTTAACTAACGGGTTTAGAATAAACGAAAGTGACAAATGTGTCTACGTTAAGGAAACGATAGACGGCTACGTCATTCTTTGTTTATATGTCGATGATATTCTCATCGTTTGTAGTAATGATCGGATGATCAAGTCTACCAAAAACATGTTAAATGCGAGATTTGACATGAAGGATATGGGTTTGGCTGATTTAATCCTTGGGATTAGAATCATTAGAAGACCTGATGGTCTTGTGTTGAGCCAATCACATTATATTGACAAAATCCTTGAGAAATTTAACAAGGATGATGGTCAATTGGCTAGAACACCGTTTGATACAAACGTTCATCTAACCAAGAACCACGGAGAAGGTATTTCACAAGTAGAATATGCTCGGGTTATTGGTAGTTTGATGTATCTTATGAGCTATACTAGGCCGGATATTGCCTTTGCGGTTAGTAAACTCAGTAGATATACAAGTAACCCCAGTGCTATGCACTGGAAGGCAATAGTAAAGGTTATGAGATACTTGAGGTATACTCGTGATCTTGGACTGCACTACGTGAGATATCCCGCTGTACTTGAAGGGTATAGTGACGCGAACTGGATATCTGATATTAAGGACTCTAAGTCCACGAGTGGCTACGTATTTACACTAGCCGGTGCAGCCGTTGCGTGGAAATCCTCTAAGCAAACCGTGATAGCTAGATCCACGATGGAATTTGTGCTGATAGCCTTGGACAAAGGTTGTGAAGAGGCTGAATGGCTACGCCATTTTCTAGAGGATATTCCTAATTGGGAAAGACCAGTACCTCCAATATGTGTGCATTGCGATAGTCAAGCCACAATTGGGAGAGTACAGAGTCATATGTATAATGGTAAGTCTAGACATATGCGTCGGAGACATAATACCATTAGACAACTGCTCACAACTGGTGTTGTCTCGATTGACTAGGTAAAGTCAAAAGACAATATAGCGGATCCGCTGACCAAAGGGTTAGGCAAAGAAGTTGTGGAGAAGTTGGCACGAGGAATGGGTCTAATGCCCTTGGACTAAAAAGTTCTATAGTGGATACCCAACCTAGCTGGCACCTAGGTTCAATGGGACAACTAAATTATGGAACGGAGCGCATCACTGTGGGGGTCTCGGACTCCCTACCACTCCTCGTTAAAACAGTGACTCTCGCATGAGGCTAGCATGTTGATGCTTTAATGATTCTTGGGTATGCGGGAACTCGAGAAAGAATCACATATGTAAGAGAGAAGTGAGGGTCGCTTCAAAGGAGAATTGGTGGGCACAATTCTTTAGAAACTCTTGCAGAACCAAGAACGGTGACCCACGACCAAAACGGGCACACTCGTGAGAACAGAGCATGGTTGGGAGGTTCCTGTGTGAGATATGTCATCGTCTACACAAACACCAGTTGGTTCAAAGACATCGCGTTCTACCGTACAGCCAGTAGAGTAAACATGTCTTCACAAGGGAAGGTTCAAAGGGTATAGTGACTCCCTACCTATCCTATGCAGGGATCGACCGTTTGAACACAGTTGTTTCCGATTTCAAAATACTCTGAAAATCAATTTTTCATTCATGTGGGGGATTGTTGGAAAAAATAGCTTAAAATGGCATGTTAAGTGGCTATTTTGTGGTACAATTATCAGTGGGGTCCACTTCCGATTTGGGTCGGGTCAAAGTGGATTCGGGTTCTTCATAGTGAGACGAAGAGATTGATATATTGTACGCTCAAAACGGATAATGGGTGAATGAGATATTGATTCTCAAAGTAGACCCATTTGAGTTGGAAAATGAAGGGAAAGAGTGAGCTTTTGTCCCACATTGGTTTGGAAAGAGGATTTGCCTCCCTTTCTATATATTGTAATTATATATTTTTTATTTTTATTATGTTATGTTAGCATATAAAATAATTTTGTTTCTCAAGTTCAAGATTTTAATTAATATTCTAAAATCATGTAATTATATATGATACCGTTATCTTATTTATTTATTTTAATTTTTAAATTTATTAAAATATATAAAAATATGTTAAGAATATTATAGTGTGTGTATAAAAGATAACCCTAAAACAAACATGATTATATTACATACCTCAATTTTAACCAAACACAGGAATCTAACATTCCCAATAATCTAATATTCTCTAAGGTAATCTAACATTCCGTGAACCAAACGAGCCCTTAGTAGTAGGGTACACTGATACACGGCTTTCCTCGTCATGCCGTACCAAATCCGACAGTGGTAGGCGAGGCTGGTCAAAGTTTATTGTTGGTTTTTATTTTGATATAATGAATAGGTCCCACGCGCTTTCTTAGATAATTGAGCTCACGCCCAAAGCCCACCATTCAAATTTGTATCCCTCTGAGGCTCTGATGTCATATGATATGACCCTTTGTTACGTGACTAATAAATAAATGAGTTATTCTATAGGGAAAATGACGCTTTTTCCCCTATGTTGTTTACTAATAGCACATTTTTTTCCTGTGTTGTTTATGTAACCACTTTATCCCCCTCAATTGTTTTTAAAGTAGCTATTTTCTCCCTCTCCGTTAAATAAGTGTTAGGGATGTTAAATATGAGAGTAAAAATGACATTTCACTTATTATTATTATTATTATTATTATTATTATTATTATTATTATTATTATTATTTAGTAATGAATTTGGTTTGCAATATAACTTTGCATTTTAGTCGTGGAGTACTGCAGTATATTAGGGCGTTGGGTGGGACTTATTATTATTATTATTATTATTATTATTATTATTATTATTATTATTAATGGACGACCCCACCCAACGCCCTAATATACTGCAGTACTCCACGCCTAAAATGCACAGTTATATTGCAAACCAATTTGGTTTGCAATATAACTGTGCATTTTAGGCGTGGAGTACTGCAGTATATTAGGGCGTTGGGTGGGGTCGTCCATTAATAATAATAATAATAATAATAATAATAAGTGAAATGCCATTTTTACCCTCATATTTAACATCCCTAACACTTACTTAACATAGAGGGGAAAAAATAGCCACTTCAAAAATAATTGAGGGGATAAAATGGTTACATAAACAACACAGGGGGAAAATGTGCTATTAGTAAATAACACAGGGAAAAAAAGTGTCACTTTCCCTATTCTATATGTAATTTCAAATCTTATTCCTTTAATTAAAATTAAAATTCATATAGAATATATATATATATATATATATATATATATATATATATATATATATATATATATATATATATATATATATATATATATATATATATATATATATATATATTACTTTTGTGATAAAAAAAAATTCACAATTACATTAGAAAGATCTTATGCGATAAATATGATAAATAAAAGTGTGATAAAAATCAAACTAATGACATTTTGGTACGAGAATCATACTCCACATACTTAATCACCGCAAACCTATTTTGATACATTTATTTTTTACTCTAATTTTTATTCTTGATTAACATATGTTCTAATTCATTCAGAATAATATAAACCTAGGAATTTGGAGTAAATAGTTGATAAAACATACTTCTAATACAATTACAAAATTAGAAATGATACATCATTTTAAAAAGATTTGAGCTAAATTTTCTTTTAAAAAGCAATCAAATTCACTAAAACTCGAAAAAACAATTATATTATTAATAGAAGGTAGAATAATTATTGCTTCACTAGAACAATTTACAAAGATGGTGGAAAGAAGAGATGACTTCCTTACTTCTTATGCAATGGTAACATGTCAAGCATAATAATTGCACTTAATGGTCCCACAATTGCATCTCTTAATTTAACAAGTGATGACAAACATCCAACAACTTCTCAATCAATATGCCACAGAGAGCATTCATAGTATGATTTATTCTTGTATAATTTGATACCTATTACTTGTGAACAAAATTTATCTAATGTACATTCTCAAATAGTAACTATAATTTTTAATAAATACCCTTAAAATGAGTTCAGATATATAAATATGAGAAAAGTGTCAAATTGGCCTCCTAAGTCAAGTGGATAGTGCAATTGGGTCTCTTAAGTGAAAAAAAACTCCATTCAAATCCCCTAAACCGGTAAAATTGTTCAATTAAGTCCAATATGACTTGTTTACCAAGTTAAATCGATATGGTGTTGACACGTGTCCTTCTTATTTTATTTTTTAAAACAAATGTTTTTTATTTATTAAAAATATTATTTATTATAAATTAATAATTAAAATAGTAATAATAATTAACAATTAAAAAAAAAAACAGCCACCAGATGTTTGCACTGGACAGTTAGTGACTATCTTCCTTCTTCACGGTCGTCTAAGGAAGGCGGCCATGGACGTCTGGCCGTCTTCCTTAGACGGCCGTGGCCGGACGGTCACGGCTGTCCGTGAAGAAAGAAGACAACCACCGGCTGTCAGGTGGATGTTTTTTTTTTTTTTTTTTTAAAAAATTTTAAAAGTATTATTATTATTTTAATTAATTAATTAATTAATAAAAAATAATATTTTTAATAAATAAAAAGTATTTATTTAAAAACATAAAATACGAAAGACACGTGTCAACACCATATCGATTTAACATGTTAAACAAGTCATATTGGACTTAATTGAATAATTTTACAGGTTTAGGGGATTTGAATGGAGCTTTTTTCACTTAGGGGACCCAATTGCAGTATCCACTTGACTTAGAAGGCTAATTTGACACTTTTCCCTATAAATAAATACTCTGTATCTATAAAAAGTTTGGATAGCATTAAAAACTCAAAACATGATAGTTTGTATATAATATTTTATAGGGAAAATGACACTTTTCCCCCCCGAGTTATATACTTATAGCACTTTTTCCCCCTAAATTATAGAAGTGGCTCTTTTTCCCCCTGAAATGTTAAATGGACATATTTACTCTTAAAATAAATATTTTATTTATTTTTCTTCTCCAACAAATTAATACTATAATTTGGTTCAAACCAAACAGATACTATAGCAACCAAACCAAAATATTCCAATTACAATTTATAATCAAAACACAATATTTAGAGTTTATTAAAATCGCGAACCGGAATGACCGGTTCATGTTCCGAACTGAAAAAATAAAATACATTTATTGTTGAATTTAGACTATTTTAAAATAAAGACGGTTCAAAATCGCGAACCGGATTCGGAACCGCCAGTTCACGGTTCATGATCCAGTTTTTTTTATTCTTAAATTTAATAAATTGAAATCCAAATATTGCGTTCTAGATCTGAATCATAACCGAAAACTTTTAATTCGCTTGCTATAGTGTCTGGTTCAGTTCGAACCGAACTGTGGTAATCGCTACATATACGCAATAATTTGTTGGAGAAGTAAAATAAATAAAATGTTTACTTTAAGGGTAGAAACGTCAATTTAATATATTATGGGGAAAAATTACCACTTTTAAAATAATTGAGGGGACTAATGTGCTTACATAAATAATTGAGGAGGAAAAAATGCTATAAATATATAACTTGGAGAGAAAAAGTGTCATTTTCCTTATTTTATATTAAAAAAATTTATACTTTTAGCCCTCGAGTTAGCATGAAATAACTTAATCTTTCAATTATTGAAGTCTCTAGTGTTAGTCCTTCAATTATTATATCGATAGAGGATATATAGTCCTTTGAATGACAGATTTGAAGGACTATATCTATTACCAAGATATTTTCCTTAACAAATTTTGACACTAAGGGACTATGTTGGCCACCAAGATATAATTGAGAGACTAAATGTAGATGCCCCCAATAATTGAGGGGCTAAGTAAGCTATTTTACTATAATTGAAAGACTAAGGGGTCGTTTACTTCATTTCTCTGTTTTTCCATTTCCAGTTTTCCATTTCTCCATTTCTCCAATTTTCCTTCTCCATTTCTCCAGTTTTCCATTTCTCCAATTTTCTAATTTTCATTCCCCATTCCTCTAGTTCTTCATTTCTCTAACTTTTTGTTTTTATTAAATACAATCATCTCATATATCATTTTTACATTTCTACAATAATAATAATAATAATAATAATAATAATAATAATAATAATAATAATAATAATAATAATAATAATAATCTTCTGAAGAAGGGGGAAACCTGAAGCAATAATAATAATAATAATAATAATAATAATAATCTGAAAAAGAGGGGAAAAACTGAAGCATTAATAATATTATTATGAACTGGGAAGAAAGTCAAGAAACTGAAGGTGAAGAGGCGGAAAGCTAAAGGAGAAAAATTCAAAACAAAGAGCAAGACAGGGTTCGAACCAACGACATATTGGCCAAAGTTACTGTTCACCCATTTTTTTTTCCATTCTTCCATTTGGAGATATCCAAATTTGCTTTCTCCAAAAATGTACATGAAGTGGAAAAATGGAGAAGAGTTAGGCAATTAGAGAATAGATTTTAGTAAACAAGTTTTCCATTTTCCATTTTTCCACTTCTCCAATTTTCTGTTTTTCCAGAAAATTTTCCATTTTTCCAGTTTGTTAAACGACCCCTAAAAGTGTCATTTTTCTTTTTATATATTATTTATAGTTCAAAAGAGAAAATTTCAATTTTGGTCACACGACTATAGGGGCTTTGTTAATTTCAGCACCTAACTTTCAAAAGTATCAATTTAGTACCTTGAGTATGTAATTTTTCTCAATTTTAGTCATTCCGGCCAATTTACTGATCAAATTCCACCGGAAAAATTAATAGGCACAAAACTGAGGGGCAAATAAGTCTTTTCCTGAGCACAAAACTTGTGTACAGCCGGAAAACCATTTGCGGTTGGAGTGGCGACGACTAAACTACGGACAAAATCGGTATACAAGTGAGCGGAAATTGAGCAAGCTCCGGCGGTCCAAAGAACGATCCAAGGAACGCCGCCTCTTTCCGCCGCCAAGTCACCGCCGAACCACAGAAACGCATCCGTCAAGAAACACCCAAATTTGGTCCCTGTTTCCGCCTCCGCTTCCGCTATGGCCTTCACGTAATTACCCGGCATCGCCATGATGAACTCCTCGTGGGTGACCAATGCCTCGCCTGCCACAGTCCCATCCCACACGTCGTACGCCTTCACGTTCCCGGCGCCCGGGTTCCGCCCTCTGAACAGACCGGAGTTTGAGTCGTGATTGTTGAAGAAAGAAAACCGTGCGCTTGGAAAGGCGGCGGAGAGCTGCTCCACGAGGCTCAGTAGAGGGGCCGCGTGGGTGGCGAACGGGAAGGCTAGCACCGCTACATGGCACTCTGAACTGCCCATTTTTTTCCGGCGAGAAATGGTTTTCCGGCTGTACACAAGTTTTGTGCTCAGGAAAAGACTTATTTGCCCCTCAGTTTTGTGCCTATTAATTTTTCCGGTGGAATTTGATCAGTAAATTGGCCGGAATGACTAAAATTGAGAAAAATTACATACTCAAGGTACTAAATTGATACTTTTGAAAGTTAGGTGCTGAAATTAACAAAGCCCCTATAGTCGTGTGACCAAAATTGAAATTTTCTCTAGTTCAAAATATACCAAATGAGTTTGGGACATATCCGAAAATCTGATGGGTAATGTGAAATGGGTTAGAGACGAGTATGAGTACGAATAGTATTCATTTGGGTATGAAACATATTTGAATAATTTCAAATACATTGAGTTCAAATTAAAAAAATAATTAAACCCCGGTGTTGGTGTATTGATTCTTTGGGATGCAGTAGTTTAAGAAATTATAGAATAGATACTACATTGTAATAGTCTGATGACAATATTGGGCATGAGTTAAAAACTTGTTGGGTTAGAGTTATGGGGCCGTAGATGGACCCAAGGGGGAGCAAGTCGATGGTGTGGGGGTACCGCCAGGAAGGTGGCCGGCGCCGGTGGCCGGAGGAGGTCGTCGGCGAGGGCGCGCAGGTTCAGCGCCCCCTCGCGTGGGGGCGACAGTATGTGACTGCCAGTGCCCTCGCGCGGGGTAGCACGACGTTCTGATGCGATTCCCGAGCGGACGTATGCTCCGATGAACACAGGAAGTGGGGTGTGCCGGCCTAGGGGGCTTGGAGGAAATAGCGGGTGTAGCGGTGCTACGTGGAACAGGTGGCGCTTGCCAGGGGGTGTCGATCCGATGGCGTACACGTGGACGACAGAAGATAGGGGGAGCATGCTATAAATAGGGGGTTTGGATTCTTAACACAGGGCAACAAAGACACGACACGCACTGCGGTCTAGCGGTTTTGATCTCGTACTCTCAACCCCTCTACTTGGGTTTAATTCCTATTAGTGGCATAGTTAACCATAGCCCATTCCTTGGGCCGTCATTTTGGACTTACCTCGGACTTTGTACGTATTATTTTGGGCTAGCCCATTCCTTGGGCCATGATCTTTGTACTTGTCGTCATTCTGGACCTGTATCTTGAGCTTTGTACGTATTATTTTGAACCTAGCACCCTGGATCATAAAGCTACTACCTTCTTAACCCCGTTCTGTATTTATATACTGGATTTATAGTGGACCCGGTCCCAATAAAATCATCCGTCAATAATACTAAAAGAAATTTCAAAAAAAAATTAAACCATTATTACCCTAGACCCTAGTCGCTATCATTTCTAAATTTTGAATACAATAATAAAAGAAAAATATTACGGAGTATATTTAAACTAGATATCTATATTAGTCAATAAACTTAAGGAAGTTGTGAAAGAATTAGGATAGCAATTTTGGCAACATACCAAACTTCCAATCAAACTCTCTTTCTTTGATGGTGCAGTCAATGTGTTCACACTCTGAGACAAAAGCAAACTTAACCCAATGAACTCTCAACAAGAACACTCATACACTATTATTTATAACTCTCACACTCCAAAGGCAGAATCTTTACACCTCTTACGCTCTCTCACTCCATATTCTAAACCCTCCCCTGGAAAACGACCGCCTAAAACCCAACCCAAGAAACCCCCGGCCCAAAACCGCCCTTCTCTGCCGCCGTGGACCACCACATTCAAGAATTCGAGGGGGAGAATAAAAAGAAGAAACTCTCTATCTTTTCTTTGTTTCCTTGCCCTTGCTACACTTGTACTTGTGTTGAGGAAAACCCGGAAATTTATTGCGTTTGCCATGTAAAGTACCTGGCTTTAATGATCATCTTGGCAGAGGGTAGTGGACAGAGATAAAGAAAGCAAGAAAGAAAGAAAGAAAACGTGGGTGTCATCGGAGGGACACAACGGCGTCGTTTTAGCTTCGGAGGGATGGGGATCCCGCTAAAGTGTCTCCGATCCATCCTTCTGCTCTTCATCCTCCTCAACCATCAGGGTAACTTTTACTGCCTGTGTTTTGGATAGTTCATAGGTCATTGCTCTTTCAAATCTATGGTTTTAAAATTTAAAATTTAAAATTTAAAATTTAAATCTCCTTCACTCTGTCTTTTGATGGGTTTCATGTTTGATTCTCAACTGCTGTGATGATTCTGTGAACTAAACTGGTATTGGATCATGGGTGATTACTGTTTTGCTTCATTGACTTTGGGTTTTCCTTTCTTGCCTATTCAAAATTTTGGGATTTCTTTTTGAATTTTAACCAAAAAGGAAAATTCTTCACTTTCTGTATGTCTTACTACTTTAACTTAGAATTAGCTATCTCCAATTTGATGAAATTAAAGTTGGTTTGAGCTACTGAAACTTTTGTTGTTGTGGGAAGTACCACTTGATTAAAGAACTTGGGTTAAAGTATAGCTTGTGAGATGTGAACTACCTTCTTTATTAGTAAAAACATTCCTCATCTTGTATGGTGAAAGCCAAAAATCTCTTAGCTTATATCAGTAAACACATATATTCCTCATCTTTTATGTTAAAAGTTTTCATGCATCAAAGTATCAAATGTGAATTTTCTTGGTTGGGTTGATTGGTCAACTCAAAGTTTGTGACTTTAGGATCTTGGGGAGGCAAAAATTCCAGTTATTTTAGTGTAATGGTATTTGTTTTGTCTATGGATGCACATTTCTAGTATGTGTTGCTTGCCTTGAAAGCAAATCTTGTCTAATTGCCCTTTTTGGTATCTTTTTTTATCAAGAAGCATTTTGGCATCATTTTATGTCTGGTGCTTATTTCGTAACGGGATGATATAATGGTATGTTCTTCCTGTCTTCCTTATTTTCAGCTCAACAAACAGCAAGAGCGTTCACGGGAACTTATGGGATTAATTATGGAAGACTAGCGGATAACATCCCTTCACCAGATAAAGTTGTTAAACTCCTTAGAGCAGCAAAGATTAAGAATGTTAGAATTTATGATTCAGATCACAGTGTCATCAAGGCCTTTACGGGGACTGGACTTGAGTTGGTGGTTGGGCTTACTAATGGCGAAGTGAAGGATGTGAGTGCTAATGCAGATCACGCGCTGAATTGGGTGAAAGATAACGTGAATGCTTTCCTGCCCGATACAAACATTGTTGGGATTGCTGTTGGCAATGAAATTTTGGCCGGGAGTGATTACGAACTATCAACTTCTTTGTTGAACGCTGTAAAGAATATACACAACGCCACGAAGAAGCTAGGGATAAGCGATAATATTCAGATAACAACTGCACACTCGCAGGGCGTTTTCAATAATTCATACCCACCCTCGTCGTGTATTTTTAGAGAGGATGTTTCCCAGCTCATGAAGCCACTTTTGGAGTTCTTCTCCGAGATAGGATCACCGTTCTGTTTAAATGCCTACCCATTCTTGGCCTACACATACAACCCAGACAAGATTCATATTAACTATGCTCTCTTTAAGTCCAATGATGGGATTTATGATAATGCAACTCATCTTCATTATGATAATTTGCTCGATGCACAGATCGATGCGACCTATGCAGCACTGGAGGATGCTGGGTTTAAAAAGATGGAAGTTATAATAACAGAGACAGGCTGGGCGTCTCGTGGGGACCAGAATGAACCTGCTGCCACAGCTGACAATGCTAGGACATTCAATTATAATTTGCGGAAAAGACTTGCAAAGAGGAAAGGAACTCCAATGAGGCCAAAACATGTTTTGAAGGCATACATTTTTGCACTGTTTAACGAGGATTCGAAGCCAGGCCCAACATCTGAGAGGAACTATGGGTTGTTCAAAGCTGATGGGAGCATCTCTTATGATATTGGTTTTCATGGATTGGAAGATTCATCTGCAGTGTCTTCGCTTTTGTCTTTGAAGGTATGATGCCGATTTTGTCTCTCGACTTTTAATTCTGCTATCTCTAATCTTGCAAGATTAAAGGCTAGGTTTTGTTTGTAAAGTACATGCATGTTTCTTTCTTTATTGAGGGAGGGGAGGAGATATTATGACTGGATTAATATATGGGGCACTTACTAATGGTTGTATCATAGTGGGCATGGAGCTTTTTTCTAACCGTGTAAATTTAATGGAAAATTCTTTTAAGATAATGTCTTGACTTGCCTGTTGTTATGGAGAAAACATTAGAATTACCTGTCATATGGTCACTAGCTCCAGAGTCAATGACCCACTGTGTAGACGAAGAAGAAACACATGCAACAGGATTACCTGTTTGGACAAGGGTTGTAGAAAAAGGCGGTTGATTGGATGGAAACTGGGATGGAGACTGCGTAGAAGAAGACACCTTCAGTTGATTGAACACTGCTAACTCCTCATCTATCATAACCACTATATGTCCTTCAGACCCCGAGGTTGTGTTAGCAAATCTTTGGTGCCTGGGTGGTTTAGGACATTGGTTTCTGAAATGACCTGGCTCTCCACAATTGAAACATACCCTTGGTCCTACACGTTCTCCTCCACCACGTCCTCGATGGCGACCACCTCCACCTCGACTATTATACCCTTCTGCCATGTTCAAGTTCAACCCAGGAAATAATCGCAAACCCTAAGTGCAGAATATCAACAACCCAAAACTCCACAAAACATACCAGGGCAGAACCTACTCACTAAGGCGAGTTGACCGGTGTAATTTCCATGCTTGTCTATCTTCCATGCCTATTCATATCTAACAGATACATTGCATTAGATATGCCTCACTTAAAAGACTTCTAATGAACTCTAACATTACCTCATTCTTTATCGAGGAGTATCAGCTGAATAAGTATTTAGTAATGAATCCTAACATCACCACATTTAGGAGGAGTGTCAAATGAATAATTGTTTACTTGTTTAGCTACGAGTATAATTTATGGTCCAATCGTGTTTGCCCCATTTCTTTATTGTGGAGTATCTTTTGAATTTAACATAATCGAAATATCAGGTAGAAACTTCAACTTTAAGTGATTTTAAGATAACCCGGACATGTCTTGCAGAGAAATATTTCTTTTTTATAACTAATCCTTGAAATTAACTAGCAGAAGTTATTGGGATTCCTTCCGTTTTATCATTGGTGTAGTTCAATGTATCAGGAAACACATTTAAGTATACTTTCTTGGCAAGTTGTGTGATGTGTTAATGCCACGAAGATTCTCAACAGATTTTCCTTTTAGAAGTGCTGTTAATTAAGCCTACATTTTTGTTGATAAAATGTGAAATATCTCGGGATATCTTATGTGGCCTTATGCAATAAGAGCTGAGGTAAGTTTTCCCTATTTGATGGCTCTTGACATCGCTAGAAACTTAGTGAACTTATTTTTTAGTTTCCGTTTCCATTTCATTTCAAGAGTTGAAGTTTTCAAGTTTCTAGGAGGCTTTTTTGGTTTGAAGAGCTGGATTGATTAAATGTTGGGTTCTTCATAATTTCTTTCAGTGTTCTGTTCGATTCGTTTGGGGCATTAGGTATAGGTTTGTGTTTCCGATATTGATTCTAAGCGCTATATATAGCTGACCTTTCACCCCAAATATACCATTAAGCTTCTGTTATTCTCGAAACAAAATAGTCATGTTGCTTTCTGATACAACGGTTTATATTACTGATCTTTTTAAGCTTCTGTTACTTCTCTACACTACGTCGAGTTATGAACTTAACCCGTTCTGCAAACATTCAATGTTTCAGGGATTCAGAGCTCGAGGGTTGTGTTTCTCGCTGTTAGCAACCTCGGCTTCACTGCTGCTGCTATGGTTATGACAACAATTTTGGTGTCCTCATTCTAGTTTAAGGTTACCCAGTTAACAATGAAATGAAATTCTATAGTGGAATTGTGAGAGGTGATGATATGAGAGATCCAGGCAGAATAGATGGTAGTGATATACATGAATGCAGGTTTTTACTTATAGAGGTGACTGATTGTCTTTACTCATGCATTCAGCTATGTACATCTGTCAATATGAAATAATCTCTTTTTTTTCTCCTATGATGTTTCTCTATGCACTTTGGATGTAGACAACTTTTTTTGGACCAACAAGATGAATTGTGAAGAAGTCACTCTCGAATCTTATTTATTTATTGAACTCCCTTTTCCTAACATAGTAATAGTAAATGATAAATAGTTTAAAAGATATTGGCCATGTTTGGTAAAAAATTGCTTACAGGCCAATTTTGGCTTATTTGATCACTATTAATTATTTGATTTAGTTAAAATATCAATATAAATGTTTGGTTAATTAGCTTTTTGCAACTTCAAAAAGGCTACAATTCAAAAAGCTACTCCAAACAACTTTTTCAATTAGCTTTTTGAGAAAAGAAATTATACCAAACAGCTATCACCTAACAGTTAATTTACCAAACACTTTTCTATTATCAGCTAATTTATCAACTATTTATACTCTCTATTTAACACAATTAGCTAACAGCCATTTTACCAAACAGGGCCATTGTAACAATTGAAAATTGGTAAAAAGGAAAATATTACTTTTACTCCTAACAAATCTTAGATATAGATAACTCTTTCTGGATCATAAGATGAAAATGTCCTATCCATGCTTGCCACATTAGGAAGTATAATTCATGGAGTAGAATTTAAGAATCCCCATAGTAGAACTCATCATAAAATATGATGATGTGTTTTTGAAAATATGGGTGAAATTTAAATTTTAATTTGGATATATTGTACTCTTCTTTTTGTTGTTTCATGAGAAGGGGTTGGAGAACATTATTGTGGATTCCAAAGCTGTGGTGGAAGTCTTGTCAGATAAGTGGATTGGTGATGAAGAGTGTGCCTCCTTAATCCGACACTATAAGTTTTTGGCTGCAAAGTTCTCACATCTTAGAGTCATGCATGTTTTTAGATAATGAAACAAATGTGCCGATTTCTTAACCAACATGGGACATGCTGGAGATTGGGGAACTACTTTCTTAGAAGACTTCCGATTGACTTAGTAACACTTTGTTGGCGAACGCGGTGAGACTGTCACTCGGAGAATCTGCTAACTCGAAACTCTGCCTCTCCTTCTTCATTCACAAAAATAAATAAATAAATAGATAAATAAAAACTCTTCTTTTTGTTTGGATAAAAAAGTCAAAGATATGGCGTACATGTTCATTGTTAAAAATAAATAAGTGAAAGCATGGCATGGTGTCGTTGGCAACTAAATAATTTTTAATAATATAAAAAGTTTTTTTTTTTTAAATACATTTTACTCTATTTTTTAAAAGTTTGTGACATTTTTGTTATATGTTATTCAACTATTTTTTAAAACTTTTTTTTTTATGACAAGTGAAATCCTTCTACGAGTATGCATTGGATAAATCTCACTTTTGTATAATAATTCATAAACTATACTGAATAAGTAAATTCTACCAAGGAAATCTTGTATGACAGATTCGATCATTTCTAACCTATTTGATTTGATTAAAATGGCTTTTTTTCAGAATCATTGTCAGAAATGATATTTGAAGAAATTCTTTTTGATCGGAAAATGAAACTTTAAAAAAATGTCAGTAATAAAGATTCTAATATTATTATTTTTTAAATCAACACATTTTTTTAATATGTGAATCATATTTCACTTACTCGGTCACCTCTTTTAGAAGGGCTTACTAAAAATTATTTTAGCAATTAGTAGGTCATTCCGAATCATCAAATAATTAATATTTGCTACAAACATTATTGACAATATAATATACGATAAATTATATTAATCAAAGTCATAATTCAAACATATCAATATTCAAAACAATTGATTCCCAGCATGGTCGATCCAACAAAATATTTTAATGAATATTCAGCTTATAATCTATAAATGTTGTATAAAGATTCATAATAGAACTTTCTATTTTGTACGTAGTTATATACACTAGTAAATAAATAAATAAATAAATAAATAAAGTCAATGAGTTTTAATTTATATCAAATTCAATTTTCAGACCAATGTTGCAGAAGGCGCTAGGCACTAGGTGCTAGTTAGAAGTTCGGGGGCGCCTAGCGCCTAGAATACCAAGGCGGTGCCTAGGCGGCTGATTAAATATATCCTCTTCACTTTTATCACTTAGCGCTAGGAGTTGTTAGATTTTTATAATCCCCCGTAGAGCCGTCAAAAATGGGTTTTACCTGCCGGATCTACCCGTCCCGTACCGCCGTAGGTAGGGGACGGGTTCTTCAAATTTTGATCCGCCAGGAGGCGGGCATTTTAGCCCATCCCGCCTGGGTCACGGGTCCAGGCGGGGCGGGTTAGGCGGGTCATGGGTTTAGCCCGCGACCTGCTAATACATATATATTTTGTATATATATTTAGTATTTAATATATATTATTTTGGTTTGTGTAATTGTGTTAGTGTGTTATAACTTATAGGATTATAGATTTATAGGAATACAATACTAGGTAGTGTTACTGTACGTCTATACAGTGATTCTTTTTTTTTTTTTTAAGGATATTGTACAATGATTTTTTTTTTAAATTAACACAGTGAAAAAATTGATTGGCGGGCTAACCCGCCCCGCCAGCGGGCTTTGGCATGGCGGGGCAGGCCGGCCACATTCCAAGCCCGCTAAGAGGCGGGCTTTCTAGCCCGTCCCGCAACGAGGACGAGCTTTGGTGTGTTTTGGCCCGTCCCGCCTCGCGAGACCGTTTCGACGGCTCTAATCCCCCGAACTAGTCAACTGCATATGTTAGATGGTTAGTTGAGTACATGACTGGAGAAAAATAAAAGAGGAGTAGCCTAGCAGGCAAAATAAAACCACTCGACCAACTTGGGCACCAACTCGGTCGAGTTAGGTACATGTGCCCGACTTGATTGAGTTAAGCACTTAATTCGGTCGACTCGGTCAGCCAACTAAAAACCGCCTAGGCCTAAAATTGCCTCGGCGGCCTAAGGGCTCCTAACGCCTTTGTGACTGCCTAGCCTGATGTTTACAATACTGCTTCAGACTATACATTTGTTAGTCCTTTTATTTTATTTTGTTTAGTATCATCGGTATAAAATTGTTGTATTAATAATATATACTGTTTAGATGATTCTCGTACCTAAAAGTCATGTGTTTAATTTTTTGTCAGCATCTTTTTAGTTCAATTTGTTACGCAAGATTTTTTTTTAATACAGTTTATCTCTATTGCATACGGAATTTGCGGATTATTACATAAAGGATGAGTTGTTGAATTGTTTGAAGGAAGGTGGGGTTGTTGGGTGGATAAGCCTAAGCCAATATACATTAACTGGGGAAACTTTTCATCTTCAACTAAGTTATCATTCTACACAAGAAACAACATGTTTTAGTTAGTCCATCTTTCTTTTCTATATATTTTTTGTTTGTTTTCCACTCTTGCTGTCTATGTTTGACAATTATTTATGACTATATTAGGAAAAAGAAACATTGGTTAGGTATCCTAGGATGCCACGCATTTTCCAATTATAATCTAATATTTTGTTCATATTTTTTTATTGGAATCACCGATTAATTTAACACTTTTTTTTTAAAGCAATTTAACACCTTAATATATAAAAAACAGAAGAGTTAAAATGTGATAAGGAATCAACCAAATTTGCCAAGTCACAAATAGCCATGATGAGTAAAACATGAAAATATACGAGAAGATATATAATCTGATGTGATATTTTGAGATGCTTAATTTTTTTCTTTTATTTGTGTATATTTTTATTCAAATCACTTAATAATTGACACTCTAATATGAAACAGAATGGTTAAAACGTAATAAAGAATTAGCTAAATTGGTCAAGTCACGAATAGTCATGACTCATGAGTAGAACATGAAAATACACTAGAAGATATATAATTTGGTGTGATATCTTGAAATACTTAATACTCCCCCGTCTCGTTTTGTTTGTCTGATTCGATTAACGAGACTCGACTAAAGTTATTTTTAATTCAATTTTTCATAATATTACGTTTAGTATTAGTATATAGAAATTATATATTTAGAAACTACATCAAAATTACTATTAAACATTTACACACAAAAAAATTAAGTAGGAAATTTCAATTTTGGTCCTATGACTATAGGAGTCTTGTTAATTTCAGTCCCTGACTTTTAAAAGTGTCAATTTGGTACCTTAACTATGCAATTTTTGTAAATTTTGGTCACTCCGGCCAAATTGCTGGCAAATTCCGTCGGAAAATTTTAATTGTTAAAATAATGAGGGTATTTTGATCATTTCACGTCTCTTTTCTTCTTCCTAGGCGAGTCCATCCCTTCCTCTTCCGTTTCTGGTGAATGTAATGAACTAAGATGATGGGGAAATGATGCTTGATGATATTAAAGATAGGGTTTACAGGGAGAAAGAACGCCGGAAACGGGAGAGAAAGGGATGGATTCGCCGTAGATGAGAAAAGAGACGTGAAATTATCAAAATATCCTCATTATTTTAATTATTAAAATTTTCCGGCGAAATTTGACCGGAGTGACCAAAATTGACAAAAATTGCATAGTTAAGGTACTAAATTGACACTTTTAAAAGTCAGGGACTAAAATTAACAAGACCTCTATAGTCATATGACCAAAATTGAAATTTTCTCTTAAAATAAGAACAAATTGCACTTTTGGTCCTGTGACTATTTGAGTGTTGGTAATTTGAGTACTTGACTTTCAAAACTCTTAACTTAGTCCTTTAACTATGCAATTGTTAGCATATTTGGCTCTACCGGTCAAATAACCGGCCAATTTTCACCGGAAAAGCGTAATTGGGTTGGAATTGTTTTTTGACGAGGGTAAAACGGTCATTGCATAGTTAATGTTTTCTTTCATTGGTATCTATTATTCAGATTCTAATAAAAAACATAATGGATGGTTAAAACATGATAAGGAATCAACCAAATTGGTTTGGTCACAATTCATCACAAATAGTCATGGGTAGAACATAAAAATACACTAAAAATATAATTTGACGTGATATATTGAGATACCTCATCTTTTAATTCATATATAAAAACTGCAGTCCATGATCTCAAACATAATCAACCTAACCCCCAAAAAAAACACAACTTTTTTTCAAGTAATCCTACACTACTTTAGCCTAATTGACAAGGAAGTTCCAACTACTCCATGAGACTCTTCAATTTCTTTTCATCTATTTATATGACTGCAAAACCATCAGCCATTTCCAGACCTCACCACTTTCCTCATCATCTTCTCATCCACAATACAGCCCAGGGGTGACCTGAACCTTTTGAACACCATTGAAAAATAATGGCTAAAATGATGGAACTATTGGTGGTGATGACAGTGTTTCTGTCAGCTGTAAGTAATGTAGATGCAACATCATACACAGTTGGGGATAGTTCTGGCTGGAATACACCTTCTAATGGAGATTCTACTTACACTGCTTGGGCCAACCAGCACCAGTTTGTCACCGGAGATATTCTAGGTATGTAAACACATCATATCGTTATCATTGTCACGTTATATACTTACAATCTGATCAGTGTCCCGACATATACATACAACATGCTAGCTGTACGTTTTATTAATTGTGAACATCCAATTTACGTACAATTACAATTTTAGTATCTTTAAAGTGAAAAATTAGGTGAAATTTTTTATGTTATTTTGTAGTCAGTTATACCATTTTTAAATGAAAAAAATGTGGTCTCCAGTCCTACAATTATGCAGTTTTAGTAATTTTAGCCCTTATCTTTCGATATTTGCAAAATATATTCTCAATTTTTTTTAAAATAAAAATTGCAGTCTTCATTTCTCGAGTGATGGAAACTTGATCTATTGTGGTTTGTCTCAAATTCATGTTTGATTAACATGTATGTGTGTGTGTAATTGTCTATAGCTTATATGGAGTTCCATGATTTTGTTGCTCGAGTGCCACCCAAAGAAATGAAAAAATAAAATAAAATAAACAACAATATGTTTGGGATAATAAACAATTAATTCACCAAAAGGGAAGCTACTAGTCATTGCCTAAATATTTATATATGATAATATAATCATTGTAATTTTATACTCTACATGAAAAGTCAAAAAACTCTTTGCTTAGTACTCATTTTTCCGTCTCATTTTATGTGTCTAGTTTGATTAATGAAGCTTGATTGAATTAATTCTTAATTTAATTTTTTATAATATTAAATTTAATATTAGTATACAAAAATTTATATATTTAAAAACTAAATTAAAAGTACTATTAAATTAAACATTAAAAAATCAAATTTAAAAAAGTAAAAATACTAAAGAAAATAGTTGGTTTGACCCATCAAGGTAGGACTGATAAAATAGGACAGATGAAGTACTATTTTGTATTTGATGCTAATTGTGCTATCAAAACGAGTGTCAATAGATTCCCTCATAACAAGATATATTATACATAATTATGTCTGATACTATTTTCATTTTGTGTGGATAGATAATATATAAAATTCTAACAATATATGCAAAATTCCGACCATTTTTTTTTGCAGTATTCAATTTCAACACCGGACTACACACGGTGGCTACAGTGAACAACAAGAACGATTATGACTCATGCAACGCCGCAAATGCAAACATCCAAAATAACAGCCCGGCAAGTATTCCACTAAATTCTACCGGCGTCCACTACTTCTTTTGCACAGTCCATTGCTCCCAGGGTCAAAAGCTGACGGTCAACGTTGGTTCCACTAATAATAATAACGGATCGCCACCGCCGCCGCCGGGAACCAGCCCTTCTCCGGGCTCTAATAATTCGTCTCCTCCCCCACCTCCGCCGCCACCGTCTGCCGCCACTAGTGCAACTTTTTTTTCCGGCCTAATAATTTTGCCAGTTTTGTTGGCAGTGTTGTGATAGATGACTGATGATGAGTTGAGAGATTTGTGGATTATGTGTTAGGGTGGTGCATTTTGATGTATTGTTCGTTGATACTATTATGTATTTGATTGAATAAATAGTCATCGTTTCATTTTATAGTGTCACGTTAACCCACTTTTAAAGTACCATTACGACATAGGCCGGTGTCTTAGATCTAGTACAAATATTATCTTAGATGCGTTTCTCAATCTGACCTATTAACTAGAGATGTCAAAATGGCTCATGAAAACTTATACGAGTCGGCCCATCACTAGCGAGAGAGAAAGTGGGGCGAGCTGGGCAATCATTATTGTGTTGACTATATTTTGTATATTGTATTCAGGGAATGTACATTATTTTTGTATTGAGCATACATTATATTGTATAATGTATATTCAGTACAAGAATAATGTACATTTTGTATATTAAAAATGTACATTTTGTTATGCTCTACATAACACTGTGTGGACCATAGTCACAATAATTTGCCCAAGCTGGGCCATTTTTGAACGGATTATAGAATATGTAACATAACCCGCTAGGTGGTGGGCCAACCCATTCGTCCATTCTATATATAATAATAAATATACATTTAAAAATCTTAATTTAATATAATTCAAAATTTGAACCTCTAAATCTCTAATATCAAGATTAACAAATAACTCCTTTCAAATAAACAACTTGCAATTTTCAAACAAATTGTGTGCATGTGTGTAATTTTATTTTGTGATACTTTTTGGGATAATGATCAAATAAGCCATCCAAGTTTCAACTATATGTCAAAATGTAATTAGACTCTCGAACTAAAAAAATGTTTCAATTAAACCCTTAAATGTATATGTATCTTGTGTTATGATTTTTTGTGTCTTGTGTTATGAAATTTTATACCTTACAAGTATGAATTCTGCACCTTGTCTTTTTAATACAGCTGGATCCATAATACTATGCAGCTGTGTTTGTCTTGTGATTTTTGTATTTTCATAAAGCGTGAAAACGATAAAACTGGTCATGGCGTATGTGAATCTCATCCTGGGTGACAAACATGATAATTAAAAAGAGACTCCTCTGAACTATGATATGAAGTTCAGCCCGATGGAGATATTGTTAGATCAATTAATAACAGAATGAAAATAGATATTCAGGTGGTATGCAAGACTATTCAACCAGTGTCAGTCTTGTGTACGTTTGACCAAATCATTAAAGAAGCTTTAAGTTTCTCTAAAGAATTCAGCTTTAAATTTGTGAAACAGTCTGCCAATCAAGTTTTCTGTAGCGGGAAGTTGTTTCTATGTCTGACTGTAAGGAATGTTTTACCATTCTGTAGATCTTTATTGTAAACGTTTCGGTCTATGATTAATGAATTAGATTCTCTATTTTCATAAAAAAAAAATAAATAAAAATAAAAATAAAAATAAAAATTCTATACCTAATGAGTATGAGTTCTGTTACTCGTTATTTCAATCCATTGTCCATAATGTTATGTGTACCTTATCCATGATATAAATGGCACTGTCTTACATGCACTTAAGTTTTACCGTGCCTATTTTATACTTTGTTTAGTAATGAAATGACCAATGTACCCTCTATCATAGTGTGATCAACACCTTTTTGAAAGCGTGTGATCAACACCTACATATTCCAAACTACATTTTCTACAAAAGATAACTATAGTTTATCCAAACATTGTGAAGCTCATGAATGGAGTTGACTTAGTACAAATGCTGATATCAGATCTGAATAGATTAGATTTCAAGGCCAATTAAAACCCAGAAAACGTTATATATAGTCTACAGTATTACTTTTTGAATTGATCAAAACCTACCAAGTCATAACCACTCCATGACACAATTTCTTGCTTTTTAACCATATCTAAATCGCCGCCCATTGTTTAGCTTACATATACATGTCGGACTCATGATTTGGGAAGCAAGTTGAATTATATATATATATATATATATATATATATATATATATATATATATATATATATATATATATATATATATATATATATAGGGTCGAAATCAGATGCGAAGAAGGTTCCGGGTATATATGAAGATGCGGTTACATCTGAATCGTTGATCAAATCTAAATCAACGGTTCAAATCAATGAAATTTTTTTTTAAAGGCACGTCTTCAATTAAAGAAACAAACTATAGAAATGACACATCTTAAGAAGGAAAATCATGCACCTTAAGAAGGAAAACAACGCACCTAAAATTTTAGGCCGACGCACCTTAAGTTTCAACAACTGACGCACTTAAGCACACAGACCACGCACCTTAAGAAGGAAAATCACGCACTTAAAGCTTTGGACCGACGCACATTATGTTTCAACAACCAACGCACCTTAAGCATACAGCACAGAAACCATGCAACTTGAGCAAAAAAACCATGCACCTTCAAAAACACGTACCTTAAGAAAGAAAACTACGCACCTTAAATTTGACCTAGATGCATAAAATAAAAAATTGCCACTATGTTTTGTTAATATAATCTATGTTCAATATGGATTGTTTTGATTCGATCAATGGCTGAAATTAAACCCCATCTCCACACCTAAAGCTTATTACCGCATTTAATCTCATATATATATATAGGTCCCGGATCCCATGAGGATCTATCATTAGGTGAGGAAGTGTGGACTAATCTAAAATGTCTTTTTGGATTGATCTACAGGCTACAATTTTTTGAATAATTAAATACTTGGTTTATTAATTAATGCATCATGGACATTAAGGTAATTTTGTGACAGTAGTCTTTAACATGGGCATCAAGGTAATTGTTATTACTAAAAAAAATTTCTAACCACTTTAAAAAATAAGAAAATTGTCTCGATATTTTCCACCACCAATAAAAAGTGATTAAAAGTTTGAATTTCTGCCACAACTAACTTTTTTTCTTCTCATTATTCATCTTTGCTTCTTCTTCTTCCTCTTCTTTTTCATTCAATTTTTTAATTATTATTGTTGTTGTTGTTGTTATTAATATTATTATTATTACAAAGCTACACGTTGTGTCCCAGCCCAAACTGGCCAAGGGGAAGGAGCATGCACTAGTGCAGAAATGACTTTTAACGTCGGTTATTTGGACCCTTTAACGGCGGTTAAAAAGAAACGTTGTATAGTACACATACAACGTCGGTTAAATAGAAACCAACATCGAAAAGTATTTTTTTAATTTATTAAAAAATCACCTACGACGTCGGTTATGTACATTTTTTTTAAATAAAACTATACGATGTCTGTTTTTTTTTATATATATATAACCGACGTCGTATAGTTTTATTTTTTATAAAAATAAATTTACAACGTCAATTATTAACCGACGTTGTATATTAGTTTTTATTTTTATTTTTTAATTTTTAGAATACTATACCACGTCGCTTTTTAATAAAAAAATAAACCGACGTGGTAAGTTAATTTTTTTTAATAAATAAATACATACGACGTCGGTTATACACTTAACCGACGTCGTATGTATGTATTTTTTAAAAAATATTATATTTCATTATCAATTTAGATCCAAAACCTGCTTTTGTATATATATATATATATATATATATATATATATATATATATATATATATATATATATATATATATATATATATATATATATATATATATATATGCTCCGGATCCCATGAGGTCACCTAGATGGATGAGATCATGAGGCCTCATCTCATCCATTAAATCATTACATATAAAGGGGTGAGATTGAAAGAAATTTGTTATGCATTTAAGGTAGTAGTCTATGCATAAGCTAAGGGTGAATAAGTAATTGTAATATTGGAGCTATTTATGGTTAAAAATAAATTGGAATAAATTCCATGCAAAGTATCAATTGATTATGGGATTGAATTATATATTAATGGCAACAAATTAGTATTATTATTGTGAGAGTTGAATGAAAGCATACGTAATCAGGAACTCAGTGCAAGGTGGTTTCTCAAGGCCACAGTGATGGGGCAAACGGTTATAGGTATGTGCGACCGTCTTAGTACTGTTTTTTGGCTTTTCATATGTCTGTGCATATAATATATTAAGTTTGTGCGGTGCAAACCCGAAGTCTGTGCATTTAATTTCACATGTGTCTAATTAGCGCATGAGGAAGGAGGTTAAGACAAGTCACATTACGTATAGTATGTAACGCACGAGTTTCAAAAAGTTGAATAGGCAATCAGACATTGTGTTTTGATATGATATGTGGTTAGGTAACGAGACATTGGGGGAAAAAACATGGTGGAGTTTTGTATTAGAATATGCAAGTTAGGGTGATGCTTGTGCAAGTTTGAGAGGTAGCCTTTGCGAGTGAATGGCTAGCTTAGCCTAAGCAAGTAAGACACAAAAGGCTATTAGCATTATATTCTCAGCCTGTGAAGGCTAGTTTTTATCCATGTGCGAGTTAGAACTTTAGGTTGTGCAACTGAGTGGTAAAAAAGTTGAATAGGCAATCAGACATTGTGTTTTTATATGATATGTGGTTAGGTAACAAGAAATTGGTGGGAAAAACATGGTGGAGTTTTGTATTTGAATATGCAAGTTAGGTTGATGCTTGTGCAAGTTTGAGGGCTAGCCTTTGCAAGTGAATTACTTAGCTTAAGCAAGTAAGACACAAAAAGGCTATTAGCGTTATATTTTCAGCCAGTGCATGCTGGTTTATTACTATGTGCAAGTTAGAACTTCAGGCTGTGCAACTGAGTTTGTGAGCCTGTGCATACTAGTTTATTACCATGTGCAAGTTAGAACGTCAGGCTGTGCAACTGAGTTTGTGAGCCTGTGAAAGTTACGACTTAGCAATTATTAACGACTGACCTTGTAGTTGCCACATATTATTTAGGGAAATTAAAGTTCATGAAAGTTACAGCATGCATTTCAACTATTGTATCGTAACATATGTACATGATTTGATGTTTGTCTGGAGATTTTGTTTTTAAAAAGACGCATGAATAACCCAAAGGAAGATAAATGAGTGTGATGATTTAATGATGTCATGTCGTGT